GTGAAACCGCTTCTGTGACCAGAATGTGGTTGGCACCGCGGTGTGACTCGGCAGTACTGCTTAGATGGCTGCTTTTAGCTGCCTCCCTCACGGATTCCCTGCAGCTCCTTTTGCACCTTTCTCTTCAACCTTGGATTTTTCCACCTTGGAAAAATCTGTTCCAAAGCTTAGTCTCCTTTCCTCCTGGCTTCATGCCACTGTGATTATTTGAAATTATTGGCTGCCAATTATTTGGCCCACTTTCCCAGCCAAAAGTGGGCTCTGTTCCTTCTCTTGACCTTGGAGAGGGTTGTGGCTGCTTCCACCTATAAAGCATGGCAACACTGACCTTCTGTGATTTCTGAGGCTATCATAAAATGCCACATCACTCTGCCCTTGTTTTCTGGAGATTGACTCTTCATCGAAGCCCTGAGCAGCCATTCAATGGCTTCAAGAGTGAATCCAGGCTTGGCGCAGTGGCTCATGCCTGTAATCCCAACACTTTGTGAGGTCAAGACGGGTGGATCACCTGAGGTCAGGAGTTCGAGACCAGCCTGTCCAACATGGTGAAACCCCATCTCTACTAAAAATACAAAAATTAGCTGGGTGAGGTGGTGGGTGCCTAATCCCAGCTACTCAGGAGACTGAGGCAGGAGAATTGCTTGAACCCAGGAGGTGGAGGTTACAGTGAGCTGAGATCTCGCCACTGCACTCCAGCAAGACCCTGTCTCAAAAAAAAAAAAAAAGTTGAATCCACCTCACAGGAAAGCAGGCAGTCCAGGCAACAGCGCCCCAACTGAGCTGAGCCTTCGGGCAACTCCCCCCCAAGTGCCCAGGCATGTGAGTGAAGAAGGCCCAGGTGATTTCAGCTTGTAGCCCTCCCTTCCTTCCTGTGGAGGCCCCAGACATTGTGGAACAGATAAAAGGTGTTCATTGTGACCTTCAGAACCTGTGAGCATAATAAAATGGCCGTGGGTTGTTGCCACTGCATTTTGAGTGATTTGTTACACAGCAACAATAACGGAAACAACCACAAAATCCTAGATAATTGCTACAACAGGGCTGGGGAAGGACGGATAAACCAGGAGGCAAAGCCGGGATCCTCCTTAGCCAAGAGGGACTGCAAATGCTCCTATGCTGATAATTCGTACCCTTCACTGCTACTGGGCCCGGGCAGGCAGACAGAGGACACACCAACTCGACTGGTCATTTACCCAAGACCCAGGGTTGGGTCCATGGTGGGTCCTGGGAACGTAGTGACCAAAAGGACCACTCTCTAGTAGGACAGAAAGGGAGGGAAACATGTGAATAAAGCATGTCTAGGGCTCCACATTGACCTGAAGGAGGAGGAGGAGGAGGTTAGTTTTGCTAAGGTTAGGGGTGGGGGCAGGAAAGATGAGACTCAGGTTCTGATATCAAAAGATATTTCAGTGGGCCAGGTGTGGTGGCTCATGCCTGTAATCCCAGCACTTTGGGAGGCCAAAGTGAGAGGATCGTTTGAGCCCAGGAGTTCAAGCATGGTAACGTAATTAGCTGGGCATGGTGGCACACGTCTGTAGTCCCAGCTATTCAGGAGGCTGAGGTGGGAGGATCGCTTGAGCCCAGGAGGTGAAGGCTGCAGTGAGCTGTGTTTGTGCCACTGCCCTCTAGCCTGGGCAACAGAGTGAGACCCTGTCTAAAAGAAAAGAAAAGATCTCAGTGGATTTGTAGGGGTGAGGGGTGCTTAGCTTTACAGCATTTATTTCCCTTCCTACTATCATCCTGGGTTCCTTTCAAGGCACTACCCTTTCTCCATTGCATTCACTCTGAAGGAGCTTTATTCAGACACTTGAGGATGGGCATCATCCAACCTAATCCAAAAAGCCAGTCCCTCCCTGGAGTAGGCATCTGAGCAGAGGGATCAGGAGGAAGGCACCTGCCTCGGCCTCCCAAAGCGTTGGGATTACAGGCGTGAGCCAATGCGCTGGGCAGGAAATCCTTTTTAAAACATTCTAAGGAACCCAGCTTGTTTGGAGGAGAATATAGATATGGATTAATCTTAAATATTGCTTAAACTACTGAAATAATAGAAATAAGATTTAAAAATAATCCATTTTAAGACAAGAAAGAAGGAAAAAGAAGTGAAAGGGTGTCATTGTAGATGGAAAACAGAAGCAATGAAACTGAAAGTTCGAGACCAGCCTGGGCAACATATGAGACCGTGTCGCTACAAAAAATTTTTTTTAAAAATTAGCTGGTGGCAGGCTGGGTGCAGTGGTTCACGCCTGTAATCCCGGCACTTTGGGACACCGAGGCGGGCAGATCACGACATCAGAAGATTGAGACCATCCTGGCTAACATGATGAAACCCTGTTTCTACTAAAAATTCAAAAAATTAGCTGGGCATGGTGGTGGGCGCCTGTAGTCCCAGCTACTCGAGAGGCTGGGGCAGGAGAATGGCATGAACCCAGGAGGCGGAGCTTGCAGTGAGCTGAGATCGTGCCAGTGCACTCCAGCCTGGGCGACAGAGCAAGACTCCGTCTCAAAAAACAAACAAACAAAAAAATTAGCTGGTGACCGGGGGCGGTGGCTAATGCACTTTGGGAAGCTGAGGTGGGCAGATCACAAGGTCAGGAGTTCGAGACCAGCTTGGCCAATATGGAGAAACCCCATCTCTACTAAAACTACAAAAATTAGCCAGGGCCGGGCGCGGTGGCTCATGCCTGTAATCCCAGCACTTTGGGAGGCTGTGGCGGGCAGATCACGAAGTCAGGAGATCGAGACCATCCTGGCTAACATGGTGAAACCCCTTCTCTACTAAAAATACAAAAAATTAGCCAGGCGTGGTGGCGGGCACCTGTAGTCCCAGCTACTTGGGAAGCTGAGGCAGGAGAATCGCTTGAACCTCGGAGGTGGAGGTTGTAGTGAGCCGAGATTGCGCCACTGTGCTCCAGCCTGGGCAACAGAGTGAGACTCTGTCTCAAAAAAAAAAAAAAGTAGCTGGCATGGGCCAGGTGTGGTGGCTCATGCCTGTAATCCCAGCACTTTGGGAGGCTGAGGCGGGTAGATCACTTGACATCAGGAATTCAGTCTGACCAATATAGAGATACAAAATTAGCCAGGTGTGGTGGCACATGCCTGTAATCCTAGCTACTCGGGAGGCTGAGGCAGGAGAATCGTTTGAACCCGGGAGGCAGAGGTTGTGGTGAGCCGAGATCGTGCCATTACACTCCAGTCTGGGCAACAAGAGAAAAGTCCGTCTTAATAATAATAATAATAATAACAATAACAACAACAACAACAACAACAATAAGCTGGCAGGGTGGGTTGGGCTTGTAGTCCCAGCTACTTGGGAATCTGAGGTAGGAGGATTGTTTGATGACCACACCACTGCACTCCAGCCTGAGTGACAGAGCTAGACCCTGTCTCAACAATAACAAAAAGAAAACAGAAGCTAAATGTTTGCAAATGAATCCAGGTACATGGGCAACCACCATCAATGTTAACAGATTAAATTTGCCTTGTTAAAAAAGGAGCTCTCAGGTTGAATAAAAAATAAAATATTTGCCGGGCATGGTGGCTTACACATGTAATTCCAGCACTTCGAGAGGCCAACACCAGAGAATTCCTTGAGGCTAGGAATTCGAGACTAGCCTGAGCAACATAATAAGATCCCATCTCTACAAAAACATAAAAAATAAAAATTAGCTGGTCATGGTGGTTGGTACCTATAGTCCCAGCTACTAGGGAGGCTGAGGCAAGAGGATCAGTTGAACCCAGGAGTTTGAGGCTGCAGTGAGCTATAATTGGACCACTGCACTCCAGCCTGGGCAACAGAGCAAGACCCTATCTCTAAAAAAACACACACGCCTGTAATCCCAGCACTTAAGGAGCTGTGGTGGGTGGATCACTTGAGGTCAGGAGTTCAAGACTAGCCTGGCCAACATGGTGAACATGGCCATCTCTACTAAAAAAAAAAAAAAGAAAAGAAAGAAGATAAAATGTAATAAAGGTATAAATCTTTATATTTATAGGTATAAATCTCTATAAACCCTATAGAGATTCAACACAATCAGATCAGCGATCATCCTGCCTCTGCCTTGTGAGTAGCTGGGACCACAAGCATGCGCCCCCATGCCCAATCTTTTTTTTCCCCTCTTCGAAGATGGGTTCTGGATGTGTCACCCAGCCTGGAGCGCAGTGGCTATTCACAGGCAGGATCCCACTACTTATTAGCACAGGAGTTTTCACCTGCTCCATTTCCGATCTGAGTCGGTTCACCCCTCCTTAGGCAACCTGGTGGTCCCCTTGCACCCGAGAGGTCACCATGCTGATGCTGAACTTAGTGTGGACGCCAGCTAGGCATAGCCCACTACAGCACAGGCAGGAGTGCAGTAGCATGATCATGGCTCACTGCAGCCTCTGCCTCCTGGGCTCAAGCATTCTCCTGCCTCAGCCTCGGGAGTAGCTGGGACTCCATCACCTGGCTCTGCTAAGGTTTTGAGGCAGTAGTGTGGTGAACGGCACAGACCCTGGAGCCTGAGTTTGAATCCCAGATCTGCTGTTTATTACCTGTGCGTCCTTGGGCAAGTTATTCAACCTCTCTGTCCCTCAGTTCCTGTCTGCAAATAGAGATAAAAATACTTCCTCCTTCACAGGGTTTATGTGATTCAAGGAGGAAAATAAATGTAAAAGGCTTAAAACAGTGCTGGCACACACTCTGATTTTTTTTTTCTCGAGACAGAGTTTCATTCTTGTTGCCCAGGCTGGAGTGCAGTGGCGCAAACTTGGCTCACTGCAACCACCGCCTCCTCAGCTCAACGATTCTCCTGCCTCAGCCTCCCGAGTAGCTGGGATTACAGGCGCCCACCACCACTGCCGGCTAATTTTTGTATTTTTAGTAGAGACGGGGTTTCACCATGTTGGCCAGGCTGGTCTTGAACTCCTGAGCTCAGGTGATCCACCTACCTCGGCCTCCCAAAGTGCTGGGATTACAGGCGTGAACTACCGCGCCCGGCCGCATACTCCGTGTTTTTATTGCCTGTGGTTTAGCATGTTCATAGCCCGCGCGTCCTGTATGACGTCCTTACCCCCCCCCCCCCACACACACACACGCGCACACACGCACACACACAGTTGGGTTCTCTCTTTCACATCCCTGCACAAACTGTTGATCCCGCCAGGTGTGTCCTTCCCGTCTCCTTTTCTGGGGAATTTCAGTCCCCAGTCCACAAGCAACAAGTACACCCCGGGGAAGCCTTCCCTGCGCAGCGGCCTATCCTTCCCACTCGCCCCAGAAACCCTCCGCCGCCCGCGCGCCACAGGTTGGAAAGGTGAGGTGGGGTCTCTCTGGGCGGAGGTGGAACCCTCAATTGGCTGCCTAGGGCGAGGCTCACACGTGGCCCCCCGGACCGCCACGCGCCTGGCAGCGCTGCCTCTCTGCGCGCGTTTCCTCCACCGGCGAGCGGCACCGCTGGGCCTGGGGTCTGGGGCCTGGGGTCTGGGGCCTGGGGCTCAGACGGGGCCCTGTCAGGCAGGCAGAAGGGCGAGCGTAGAAGCCGGGGCCGCCTCCGCCGCAGCCCCCTCCGCTGCCGCCTGGATCGGCCGCTTCCCCCGCCCGGCCGCCCGGCTGATGGCGCTAAGTGATTCCGGGCGCCGCGCTCCGGGGTGGCGCCGACCCGCTGGGCCCTGGGGGCCGCCGGAGCCGCGCTCATGCCGCTCTTAGCAGTCTGCGCACAGCGCGCCTCATTAGGGGCCGCCGGGCCGAGCGGGGCGTGCGCCCAGCGCTGCGCCTCCCAATTTGTGCTCGACCCTGGCCCCCGAGCTTCCGCGCCCTCGGGTCCCCGAGGCCCACCCTGTTTCCTGTCTCTCCTGGTGACTTCACTCTTCATCTCAGCACCCGCGGGTGTCTGGCTGCGTGGGGGCTGGGAATGCGGATAGGCCTAGCTCTTCCCTAAGTCTAGCAAAGAGAACGTCTCTGGGACCCCAGGGCCGCAGTCATTGTCCCCAGCGGGTGCGGCAGGCCACGTCATTTGGAACCTGGAGCTGGGGTTGAGCGTCCCTAGATGCGAATCTACACGTCTTGCTGCCGTACACGTTTTCCATATAGAAACGAGTTTGTCAAAAATATTTTTCCTCGTTTATTTTGCCTTTTACTTAGGTTATTTTTGCAAGTAAGAATTTTTATTGTCTTTTCATTTCTGATTTCTTTTAAGCTTAATGTAATCCCCTCTAGAGATATGATAAATATTGAGACTTGGCTTCCCGCATCCCCTTCCCGCCACCCGCCCCCCCTCCCCGGCCCTTGTCAGCTGGTTTGTTTTGTTTTGTTTTGTTTTTTTTGAGACAGAGTCTCACTCTGTCGCCCAGGCTGGAGTTCAGTGGCGCGATCTCGGCTCACTGCAACCTCTGCCCCCCAGGTTCAAGTGATTCTCCTGCCTCAACCTCCCAAGCAGCTGAGACTACAGGCGCCCGCCACCATGCTCAGCTCATTTTTTTTGTATTTTTGGTAGAGATGGGGTTTCACCATGTTGGCCAGGATGGTCTTGAACTCCTGACCTCGTGATCTGCCCGCCTCGGCCTCCCAAAGTGCTGGTATTACAGGCGCGAGCCACTGCGCCCGGCTTGTCAGCTGATTTTACTCTATTTAGCTCTTCAATCCAGCTGAGATGTGCCTTGGTCTGCAAAGAGCTGAAGGTGCGTGTCTGGAAAGAGCAGAAGGCCTCCTCCGCCCTCCTTTTTCACTTGGCCCTACAGTGGATCCATTTTAGTTCCATACCTGCCCGCCTCAGGCCCAGCATTTTTCTCAGAGGTTTCTCATCCCTGCTCAATGTATCCTTTTTGATTCAGTTCAGTAAGCAGGTCTTGGGCTTCTACATCTTTAGTTCACTCTTGTTCCCCTCTTCATGGTTTACAGAGCATTTGTGTGGGTTCTTAAAAATACTACTGGAGGCCAGGCACAGTGGCTCACACCTGTAATCCCAGCACTTTGGGAGGCGGAGGTAGGCGGATCACTGGAGGTCAGGAGTTCGAGACCAGCCTGACCAACATGGTAAAACCCCATTTCTACTATACAAAAATTAGCCGGGTATGGTGGTGAGCGCCTGTAATCCCAGCTACTAGGGAGGCTGAGGCACGAGAATCACTTGAACCTGGGAGGCGGACGTTGCAGTGAGCCAACAGGTGAAAAGAGAGAAAGCTGTATTTACTGCTACCAGCAGCGTTCGTTTGAAAATGAGGCCAGCTAGGCACGGTGGCTCATGCCTGTAATCCCGGCACTTTGGGAGGTCAAGGTGGGCACATCACTTGGGTTCGGGAGTTTGAGACCAGTCTGGGGAAAGTGGTGAAATCCTGTCTCCACAAAAACAAAAATTAGCTGAGCATGGTGCTGTGGTCCCAGCTACTCGGGAGACTGAGGTGGGAGGATCACCGAAGCCCACGAGGTAGAGGTTGCAGTGAGCCATGATCGCACCACTGCACTCCAGCCTGGGTGACAGAGCAAGACCCTGTCTCAAAAAAAAAAAAAAAAAAAAAAAAAGAACATGAAGTCAATGGCTGGGCACAGTGGCTCACGCCTGTAATCCCAGCACTTTGGGAGACCAAGGTGGGAGGATTACTTGGACCAGGAGTTTGAGACTAGTCTGGGCAACACAGTGAGACCCTCATCTCTACAAAAAAAAATTTAAAAAGGAAAAAAGATAGAAAGAAAATGAGGCCATGCCCTGTCTGGCAGTAGTAGAGATGTTCTATGGTACATACAGCGGGGGAATAAGAAACAGAAGGTGTGGGCGGGGCAGATGCTCTGCTAAGATTAGTTAACTGTTACCTCTTCTCAGAAAAGGTGGTCTAATGGTAAGGAAGTACTTTATAGAACATTCTGACATTTGGGGTTTAATCTGGAAGCTTGCAACGTTTTATTATGTAAGGATTGCAGAAATCTTAACCCTTTATAGCACCATCATCTGATTCCCTTAAGACCTCAGTGGGACAGGAAGTGGGGTTAGTACTTCAAGTAAATAACCTTGGGAACAGGTGTGACTTGCCCTGGGTCACACAGAACTCACCGGAGAGCTGAAGCTGTACTCAGAGCTTCCCTTCCTTCTTTCTATGATTTATTGAATACTCTCTACCTGGAGTGGGGTTACTCTACTGAGCATGAAAGGTAGAGTCCTTCCTTTCTGCCCTGGTGTTTCATTTTAAAGGGGTTACAGGCATACACACACAAAAAGATAGACACACACAAAAAATGAATTGTGAATTGCAGTAGGTGCTACGAAATTCATCAACATAGTCCCAGACAGAAGATAAAAGAGATGGGGGGTGCTCTAGATAGGTCAGTCAGGGGAGCCTCCTCTTAATAGATGCCATTTAAGCCCATCAAATGAATCCTGGGGAGGGTGCGGGTAGAGGAATCTTCCAGGACACGGAAACAGCAGGATCTCAGATCCCAAAGCAGCAGTTGGAGTTGAGATTGATTTTAGAGGTAGAACTAAGCAAGAGTGAGGGAAAGAGAAGGCCCAGGGTGAGTCTCAGGTTCTGGGAGGAGCAGCTGGTTAGATGGTGGTGCGATCTCAGAGGTGGGAACCCTGGAAGAGAGCAGGGAAACAGCTGAGAATCTGGAGTTGCGTGTTGACCTCGTTAAGTTGGAGAAGTCTATTGGATATCCAAGGGGAGGTGTCACCGGGCAGTTGTAACTATAAATCTGGCTCTTTGGGGAGAGGCCAAGGATGGAAATATCAATTTGGGAATTATTAGCTTGTAGTAAGTATATAAAATTGTGGGATCACCCAGGAAGAGAAGAGAAGGGACACAGGACTGATTCCTGGGATGCTCCAACATTTAGAAGTCAAGGTCAAAGAGGAGGAGCCAGAAAAGGAGACTGAGAGAGAACATCCAGTGTAACAGAAGGAAAACCAAGAGAGTGTGGCATCACTGGAACCAAACGAAGTGTGTTTCAGAAAAGGATAAGTGTGGCTGAGCGCGGTGGCTCACGCCTGTAATCCCAGCACTTTGGGAGGCTGAGGCGGGTGGATCACGAGGTCAGGAGATTGAGACCATCCTGGCTAACACGATGAAACTTCGTCTGTACTAAAAATACAAAAAATTAGCCAGGTGTGGTGGCAGGTGCCTATAGTCTGACCTACTCGGGAGGCTGAGGCAGGAGAATGGCGTGAACCCAGGAGGCGGAGCTTGCAGTGAGCGGAGATCGTGCCACTGCACTCCATCCTGGGCAACAGAGCAAGACTCCATCTCTGGGAAAAAAAAAAAGAAAAGGATAAGTGTTCACCCATGTCAAATGCTGCTAGAAGATCGTGTAAAATAAGGACATAGACATGACCACCACATTTTTCAATATGGAGGTAGTTTAAGATCTTGACAACAGGAGTTTTAATGGGCTGGTTTGGGCAGAAGCCCAGGTGGAGGGAGTTGAAGAATAAATGTTGATTTCTGGATAAATGGCAGGTGGAGTGAGACCCCATCTCTAAAAACAAAAACAAAAACAAAAAGGGCAGGTGGACCACAAGTGAAAAACCAAGATGATCACTAACTCCAAGGAATACAAAAAGTTGTTCACAGATGAAAGATCATCATAATATACTACATGGCTTAGCTCAGAAGGCATAATTGCAATCTAACTTGTAATACTCATCTGTCATGACATCATCATATCTAGAAAATGGTGGATGAAGGGTATATGTCGGGGGAGCGGGGAGGAACTGGTGAAGGAACTGACTCCTTTCTTTTGAAAGGATAAATGAATCAGGATCATGAGCTGAGATGTAGGAGATAAAAGGACCGAGAAGATGTAAAGAGTAGGTTGGGAAAGGAAACCTGTAAGGGACATGTAGAAGGGTGTGCGGTGTCTGGGGGGTCCATGTGACATATGGAGTGATGTGTTGGAAATGCTGCCAGTCAGCACAGTATAGAGACTTTTCCCAGTCAGTGGCGGTTTCGAGAAGGTGGGTCCAGGGAGAAAGGGGCCTTGGTGTGGGAGGCCAGTCTTAGAATGAAGATCCTGGTAGACAGATCTGGTCAGCACAGAGGTCCTCGCCTGTCCCATGGCTTGGGCCCTTCAGTCAGTCTGGCCTCATCCGTTTTCAGTTGTTGACTCAACCCCCTGCAGTGAAGAAGGGGTAAGGTGCTGGGCCAAGGCACCTTAGCCAGGCCTCCAGCCTCCCTCCTCCTCAGCTAGCCTCACAACCCATGGAGTCTCGACGGGGCAATGGCCTCAGATCAAGCGTGTTTCCAGGCCATGAGTAGAATGAAAATGTCCCTCCTAGACTAATCCAGGAAGCTGCTCTCTCTGGAAATATCTCCTAGCTCTTAACAAGAATAATGGCAGTGGCCAGCCATGGTGGTTCACACCTGTAATCCCAGCACTTTGGGAGGCTGATTAGGGTGGATCACCTGAGGCCAGGAGTTTGAGACCAGCCTGGCCAACATGGTGAAACCCTATCTCTATTAAAAATACAAAAATTAGCTAGGTGTGGAGTGGGTGCCTGTAATCCCAGCTTCTCAGGAGGCTGAGGCAGGAGAATCGCTTGAACCTGGGAGGCAGAGGTTGCAGTGAGCCAAGATCGCATCACTGCACTCCAGCCTGGGCAACAAGAGCAAAACTCCATCTCAAAAAACAAAACAAACAAACAAAAAAAGAATAACAGCATTAATAATGCAATACTGCTGTTCATCAACTTTACAATGGTGCAGGCACTTTTCTTTCTTTCTTTCTTTCTTTTTTGAGATGGAGTCTCGCTCTGTCGCCCAGGCTGGAGTGCAGTGGCATGATCTCGACTCACTGCAAGCTCCGCCTCCAGGGTCCATGCCATTCTCCTGCCTCAGCCTCCCGAGTAGTTGGGACTACAGGCGCCTGCCACTGTGCCCGACTAATTTTTTTTTTTTTTTTGTATTTTTAGTAGAGACGGGGTTTCACGGTGTTAGCCAGGATGGTCTCGATCTCCTGACCTCATGATCAGCCTGCCTTGGCCTCCCAAAGTGCTAGGATTACAGGCGTGAGCCACCGTGCCAGGCCAGGTACAGGAACTTTTCTAAAGCTACCTTTTCTTTTGAAACAGGGTCTCACTCTCACCCAAGCTGGAGTGCAATGGCTCAGGCATGGCTCACTGCAGCCTGGGCTCAAGCGATTCTCCTACCTCAGCCTCCCAAGTAGCTGGGACCACAGGCATGTGCCACCACACCTGGCCAATTTTTAAATTATCTGTAGTGATGACGTCTCTCTATGTTGCCCAGTCTGGTCTCTCGAACTCCTGGGCTCAAGTGATCCTTCTGCCTTTGCCTCTCAAAGTGCTGGGATTACAGGCGTGAGCCACCGTGCCCAGCCTTAAAGCAATTTTTATTTTTTAATTTAAAATGTATTTATAGGCCAGGCGCGGTGGCTCACACCTGTAATCCCAGCACTTTGGGAGGCCAAGGCAGGAGGATCACAAGGTCAGGTTTGAGACCAGCCTGGCCAACATGGCGAAACCCCATCTTTACTAAAAATACAAAAAAAATTAGCCAGGCGAGGTGGTGGGTGCCTGTAATCCCAGCTACTTGGGAGGCCAAGGCAAGAGAATCGCTTTAACCCAGGAGTCGGAGGTTGCAGTGAGCTGAGATCACGCCACTGCACTCCAGTCTGGGCGACAGAACGGGACTCCAAAAAAAAAAAGTATTTATTTATTTATTTAAAATTAGAGATGGGGCCGAGCACAGTGGCTCATGCCTGTAATCCCAGCACTTTAGGAGACCAAGGCCGGTGGATCACTTGAAGCCAGGAGTTTGAGACCAGACTGGCCAATATGGTGAAACCCCATTTCTACTAAAAATACAAAAATTAACCTGGCGTGGTGACGCATGCCTGTAATCCCAGCTACTTGAGAAGCTAAGACAGAATTGCTTGAACCCAGGAGGTGGAGGTTGCACTGACCCGAGGTTATGCCACTGCACTGCAGCCTGAGTTGACAGAGTGAGACTCTGTCTCAAAAAAAAAAAAAAATTAGAGATGGGGTCTTGCTATGTGTTGCCGAGACTGGTCTTGACCTCCTGTCTGGATCTCTCAAGTAGCTGGGATTACAGGCATGAGCTGCCATGCCTGGCTCTAAAGCTTTTGTATAATAAATTTATTTTTATTTCAGTCCTCACAATGACCCTGGGAGGTGGGTACCATGATTTTCCTTACTTCACACCGGCAGAAAGTAAGGCACAGACAAGTTCAGTGAGCTGCCCAAGCCATGAAGTTTCAAGCAACAGAGGCCAGACCTTGAGCCGGGCTACCGGGAGCCAGTGTTGCTGCAACAACAACTGCCCAGTGTTGCTTCTCAAAGGGTCCTTGCAGTCCCTGAGGGGTCATTCCTGAAAAGGCCGACGTCATGGCCTGAGTACAGGCGGCCCCTCCTGGGATGCTGGCCCCCTCCCTGCCCTTGGTGGAGATGGGGCTGCTGTGTCCTCTGGAGCTTCCTCACAGCATCCGGCTGCACCCTGGAGAGGAGGCCAAGAGCCTGTGGCAACTGCAAGAGCTGGGGGCTGCACACAGCTTGAGAGGCAGAGGGTGCCCGGCCTGAGCCCCAGACCAGCAGGGCACTCTGGTGGCCCAGGGAGAGAGGCCATGTCCTCTTTAGACCTGCCACCTTGGGATTAGGAACAAAAAGTGGCTTTTTCAGGCTGGGTCCGTTTAGCTATGGCTCCTCCTGCACCTTCCCCCAGGCCCAGAACCCCCGGCCCCACTCCCACCCCAGGTCTGAGATGGTACCTGCCCTGATCCACACATACTAAGGTCCTGGTGGGCATAGGAATTGGGACAAACAGTTGTCAGGTTCCCTGGGGCTCTCCCCACCTTTGAACCTTACTTGGCATGGAGTTCTTGTTCCCCATAGTAGCTCCCCCCACTCATGTTTCTACCTGGGAGGGGGTGATGGGTCATGTGCCAAATGTGTCCCCAAGGCCCCCAGTTTCAGGGCCTGAGTCCCCATTCCCTGCTCTATGGGGGTGCGGGGGTGTCATGTCTTGCACTTTCCCCAGCAGTCTGCCACCCGTCTACCCCGTGAGAACAAGTCCTTCTCATTCTGTGTCCCTTGACTCCACAACCGACGGAGGCTGCCTTGTCCACAAGTCAGGGATTCCCGTTTCTGGTGCAGCCAGTACAAAGCCCCTGTCCTCGCCACTCTGGGCTTGTGCTGTTCTTGGTCCCTTATCTTGTTGTCACAGGGCTAACCCTCCCCACACACCTGGCTGTCCCCTGCCCCACAGCTCCTAGGCCAGGGCCTGTCCCTGTCCCTAACACCCAGCCCCTCGGTTCCTCTTACCCTCTTCTTGGACCCTAAGCCCTTTCTGGGTAACCAGAAAGCTCAGAGACGGTCTCCAGGTGACCCCCAGTCTGTTCCTCTCCCCGAATCCAGAGCATTGCAGTCACAGTAGAGGCAATTGCTGTCATTCCGCGGCCCATGACAGCCTGGCGGCCCGCATCCCTCCCCCGTGATGCTCTGCACAGACAGGCCCACGTGTGTCCCCAGATGCCTGAATCACTGCTGACGGCTGGGGACCTGGCCACCGTGGGCTCCTGGGGAGCCACTGGGGAGGGGGCGGCGGCCGCATCTTGCCTCCAAGGGAACACCTGCGGACATAAATAGGCAGCCAGCAGAGGCAAGCAGCACAGAGCCACCAAGCAGCGCTGCATACGGGGTCCACCTGTGTGCACCAGGATGCCCGACACCATGCTGCCCGCCTGCTTCCTCGGCCTACTGGCCTTCTCCTCCGCATGCTACTTCCAGAACTGCCCGAGGGGCGGCAAGAGGGCCATGTCCGACCTGGAGCTGAGACAGGTACTTCCCACCGTGGGCCATCTCAGGGCTGCCACAGCGGGCAGTGCTGACACCCTGGGTCAGGGGCTAGGAAAGAGGGAAGTCATGGGTGGTGGTAGCCTTTAGGGGAAGTGTAGGGGAGGAAGAGAGAGGCATGGCATGGCTGGGCAGAGGAGCCAATGGGGTGGGCCAGAGGAAACCACGCTTTGGAGGAGGCTGGGAGAGGCTGAAGGGGCTCCTGGTCACTGTCACCATCCAGACAGGGATTCAGGGAAGTGAGGGATGCTTCCCCAGTGACTGGGCTTGGGGCTGGATCAGGGAGAACGGGGCATCATGGCCTCCCCTGTGCCCATGGCGTTCTTGCATCTGGACTGGCTGGGGCAGCAGAGGCTCCGTCCTACCTGGCATTGGAGGCTTTCCTCATCCAGCCCCAGCCTCCCAGGCACAGGCGCCCAGGCCCCCACACAGAAGATGGCCTCTGGTCTGAGCGCACTTGAGTGGGGCATCCTGTGGGGAAGTTCTGCTGGGAACCTGGCCTAATTCTCTAGTGCTGGACGTTTCCTCCATTTCCAGCAGAGCTGAAGGAAATCCAATCACGATGTGCATGCAATTCTGTGCAGGCTCAGTGATGAGCCGTTGAGCAAATTAGACCACACCAAACTCAGCTAGAAGTCTAATGCGCTATCCATTGCGCCAGAGAACCGACTGTTGAGCAAATTAGAGTGGCCGAGTGGGCAACCCCCGCAGTCTCCCTTCCTCCTGCTAGGCTCCTTTGGGGTCCTGAGACACCTGGGTGTCCGTGCCCTCCTCTAGGGCTGAGGCGCCTGCCACCCACAGGCGGACTGAGCAGGGGGTCAGGGCCCCAGCTGAGGCCGTCAAGCTTGGCGGGAGGCAGGGGCAAGGCAAGATAGGAGACAGGAAATGGGAGGAAGGGCCGGGGTTCTGGATGCGCAGGGCCTCTCTGCATGGTGTAGTGGGGAAGCGGGTGGGCCCGGGCTCAAGCTGCAGCAGTGTGAGGAGGAAGGAGGAAGGGTTTGGAGTGGGGGAAGGTGGGGCAGCTGCAAGAGTGGCGCCCACCAGCGATGGCCCCGAGGCTCGAGGAAGGGCTCCCCACGCTGTAGTCCACCGGAGACCCGTCCCTAGCTGAGGGGGAGGACGCTGAGGGCTATCACTGAGAAGTCATTCAAGAAACCAAGGTGCTGAGCGGATTTGGACGCCCGGCCCGTGACTGCGGTCGAGGCCCAGACGGCGCCCCAGTGCGCCTGCAAGCTGCAGCCCCGGTGTCCCACCCGCACTCCGAGACCTGGACCCCAGCATCCCCGCCTCGCGGGGTTCCCCTCCAACCCCCCGACTCCCGGCTCCCCCTCCTCCCGCTTACCCCGCCCGTCTGTCCCCGCAGTGCCTCCCCTGCGGCCCCGGGGGCAAAGGCCGCTGCTTCGGGCCCAGCATCTGCTGCGCGGACGAGCTGGGCTGCTTTGTGGGCACAGCCGAGGCGCTGCGCTGCCAGGAGGAGAACTACCTGCCTTCGCCCTGCCAGTCCGGCCAGAAGGCGTGCGGGAGCGGGGGCCGCTGCGCCGCCTTCGGCATCTGCTGCAACGACGGTGCGCGGGGGCGGGGGGGGGCGGGCCTGGGGCTGGGGCGGGCGCAGACCTCTTGGGTGGGGGGACGCGGACCTGCGGCGGTGTGGGGGCAGGGTCAGGCACGGCAGGGAGGGTGTGGGCCCCCGCATCCCGAGCTGCGCCCACCCCAGGGCGCCCGCGCTCACACGTCCTTCCCGCAGAGAGCTGCATGACGGAGCCCGACTGCCGCGAGGGCTTTCACCGCCGCGCCCGCGCCAGCGACCAGAGCAACGCCACGCAGCTGGACGGGCCGGCCGGGGCCTTGCTGCTGCGGCTGGTGCAGCTGGCCGGGGCGCCCGAGCCCTTCGAGCCCGCCCAGCCCGGCGTCTACTGAGCCCCCCGCCCGCCCTACCGGCCCGCTGTCTGCGCCCGCCCCTGCAGCACGGACAATAAACCTCTGAAAACGCACGACCTCACGTCTGTCTCAGTCTCTGGAGGGAAGAGGGAAGGGGAGAGAGGTGGGAGCGGGGATCCCCGCCACCACGCCGCCCGGCCAGTCCCCGGACTTGAGGTCGCGGACAGATCCACCCCAGAGGAGCAACAGGTCCCGTAGAGGAAGCGATCTGCGACCCGCAGAGGTGTCGCTAGACCGAGGGACAGGGCGAATTGGGAGGCAGGGGAGGGGGAGACGAGAGGCCGAGAGTGGCCTTGGAGGGGGTCGGTTGGGTATCCTCCAGCAGAGGGAAAGAAGTAAAGGCAGAGAGGGGAAAGGCCTGGAGGACAAGACAGCAAGAGACCCAGAGACAGAGATAGCAGAATGATGGAGAGAGATGCAGAGACATTGACAGTGACGGAGAGAAGAGTGAGAGAGGCAGAGGGGACAGGCCAAGGGGTGACCATTCTGTCCCCATTTTCGTCCCAGGAGACAAACCACTCAGGGACCCACCCAGGTCCCGGGATTCCCAGTGCAATGTGTGTTTCACCCAAGGCAGTGCTCGTGTGTGGTGGCGGCGGGAACGTCACCCCAGACCCAGCGGAGACAGCGCCACCTGCTGTCCGTCCAGTGCGCCCACCATAAGGGCACCTCAGCCAGAGTGGGGGGCCCCTAACAGATACAGTTCCACACAACCTCAAGCTCACTTGGACAGACAAGAAAATAACTGCTAAGAACATGTCCGCGACCCTTGACCACAACCATAGAGACCCTGAGCCCCACATTCAGAGCCACAGACACACCCAAAGAAACAGATACAGCTGACAGGAGGATGGGCAGGAACATGTACACACAGGCTCACGCACGCAGGAGTGCACTCACATTAGCTCCCAGACATGAAGACTTTCTGCCCTTTGACATGAGCCCCTTTGGCAAAAAGACGTCCAGCAGCTCTCGGCATCTTCCTCTACATCTCTTGGGTTCTCTCACCCCCTTCTTGAACCGGAGGCCTTTCTGGTCCCATCTGCCCTTTCTCTCCTTTGTCTCTCAACCTGCTCTCACCTCCCCGTTCTGCCAGCTCCCGGGCCCCTTCTTGCCTCTCTCCTTGGCCCCTCCACACCCCCCTTCTGTCGCCTCACCCGCTCCGACACCTCCCATCCTTCTCTCTCTTGGCCTCCTCTGTTCTCTGCATCCTCTCCTTGGGCTTCCTTTCTCCAGGTCTTGGAGCCACAAGAGGCTGCATCTCCTTCGGGATCCTCTGCAAACTCTGAGGCCAGGAGGGAGTGCAGGAGGAGAGAAGTCCGCCTGGGCCCTGACCCTAACGCCCAGGCTTACGGCCAAGCCTGGTGACTCAAGCAGCCCAGCCTCAGCAGCCCCGGGCAGAGTCCAGGCACATGCCAAGGTCAGGCTCTCTTCCACACTCCCAGGGCTCCCCTTGGCTCTCACCCCGACCTGGTTCTGGGTTCCTCTGCCAGGCAGTGCCTGGCATGACTGGGTCTAGCCAGCAGGAGCAGGGACCATGCAGGCTTGGGTCACTGCCACGACCTCCTGCTCCTGTTTCATGTGGTCCACTCAGAGCCAGCCCCCATCTGGTTGGGGCTAGAGCAGGACCAAACCTAATAGGAATTTATTAACTCTTCCAACTGGGAAGTAGGAAGAGGCAGGTGGCTTGGCTGCACTGAATCCAATCCAAAGTGCTAGTGTCTGGACTTGGGGACAGTTTTAGAATGAGGTCCAGGAACTTTCTCTTCCCAAATACATACAGATTCAGAGACTCCTTTCCCCTCCACTTGTCTTCAAAACAATCAGGCTACTACTTCTGGGAAGGGGTGAGGAAGGTCTGCCCACCCACAATTTGCCTGAATGTCCACATCCCTGAACAGACTTCCACTCTTTCTCCCTCTCCTTGAGTCCCCTGACCCACCTACAGAGCCATTTAGCAGGGAGAGGTCTGCCCTCGTCTGCTCATTCTCTACAGGGCAAATGGGCTACAGCAAACCCACAGCAAGGGTCAAAGCAGTGTTCAAGCCTCCACATCTGTTATTTCATAAAAATGGTAACATTGGCAGTGTCTCTTTTTCTTTTTAAAAAATTATTATTACTATTATTATTATTATTATTATTGAGACGAAGTCTCGCTCTGTTGCCCAGGCTCGAGTGCAGTGGCGCGATCTCAGTTCACTGCAAGCTCCGCCTCCGGGGTTCACACCATCCTCCTGCCTTAGCCTCCCAAGTAGCTGGGACTATAGGTGTCTGCCACCGCGCCTGGCTAATTTTTTTGTATTTTTAGTAGAGAAGGGGTTTCGCCATTTTAGCCAGGATGGTCTCGATCTCCTGACCTCGTGATCTGCCTGCCTCGGCCTCCCAAAGTGCTGGGATTACAGGCATGAGCCACCGTGCCTGGACTATTTTTATTTTTATTTATTTATTTTTCAGCATCTACATTAAGGACACAGCAGTGTCTCTTGTTAAAGAACTTCTTGGCCAGGTGTGGTGGTTCACGCCTATAATTCCAGCACTTTGGGAGGCCGAGGTGGGTAGATCGTCTGAGGTCAGGAGTTTGAAACCCCATCTCTACTAAAAATACAAAAATTAGCCAGGCATGGTGGCATGCACCTGTAGTCCCAGCTACTCAGGAGGCTGAGACAGGAGAATTGCTTGAACCCGGGAGGTGGAGGTTGCAGTGAGCTGAGATAGTGCCATATGTATGTGAATCTATTTCCGGACTCTCTAATCTGTTCCACTGATTTTTTTTTTTTTTTTTTTTTGACAGAGTCTTACTCTGTCGCACAGTCTGGAGTGCAGTGGCGTGATCTCAACAGCCATGTTGTCCAGGCTGGTTTCGAACTCTTGATCTCAAGTGATCTGCCTGCCTCAGCCTCCCAAAATGCTGGGATTACAGGTGTGAGCCACTGCACCTGGCCTAGATCTATCCTTTCTATAATATTACACTGTTTTGAATATGATAACTTTATCAGGTTGTGTGGCTTTTCCAACTTTGTTCTTTTTCAAAATTGTTTTGACTGTTCTAGTTCCTTTGTCATGCTGTATAAATTTTAGAATCAACCTAATGATTTCTACGAAAAAATCCTATTGGGAGTTTAATTAGAATTGTGTTGGATCTTTCAATCAATTTGGGGAGAACTGACATCCTTACTCTGATGAGTCTTCCAAATCAATAAACAAAATATATCTCTCCAGTTATTCAGGTCTTCCATTTCTTCCATCAGCGTTTTATAGTTCACCATATAGAATTTGTATATATTATGTAAGATTTCTATCCAAAATATTTCATGTTTTTCACACTATTTTAAATAGTGTTGTATTTTAAAATGTAATTTCCAAGTAGTTATTGTTAGTATATAGAATTATGAAGTATTAATGTTAACTTTGTATCCTGTGATCTTGCTAAATGTACTTATTAGATCTAATAACTTTTTTGAAGATTCTTTGGGATTTTCTACATAGACAGTAATTTCTTTCTTTTTTTTCGCTGAGGATTTTTGCAACTTCTTTCCATGCCTCCCCAGTCAGTGTGACAGCCATGCTCTGCTCAGACTTCATCTTGTTGCATCATGGTCAGGACATTGTTCCCAGCAGAATCCTGGGGTAATCATGGGGTTCACCTCCTGAATTTCCTTCTGTCTATCATGCCTGAAATAGTTGCTATACATATTTTATCCTGTTTTGCAACTGCTTATGGTAGAGGGGCTAGTCAGTTACCAGTTACTCTGTGGACAGAAGCAAAAGTCCTACCTTAATATTAAAGAGAAATGATTGACCCTTCTGCTTTCATCTTGCTTGGGTCATAGACATAATGCTCAAAGAACAAGTAATAGTTTTGTGACATGAGGACAAAAGGTATATACTAAGGCTGACACAGCAGGAAGGCAGAATGGGTTGGGTTGTGAAGGCACTGTGGAATGGTTATACTACTAGTCCTAAAATGCAACTAGCCCGCAAGTTGCATGAACAAACTGTTAATTCAAGGTGCTATCTGCTGGGTTTTCTGTTACTTACTATAGGTGGGTACAAAAGTAATGGCAAAAACCTATTAGGTTGCACCAATCTAATAATAAATTCAGTCCTAACTGATATAAAATTATAGCACAGAAAAAAGGTATATAACAACCTAATTTATGACTTAGATTCAAACATCAATATTAGTAAATCAACTGCAAAAGACTAAATAGAAGAGTACATCATGAGCAAATAGGATTTCTTAATGAATGGAAAGATGGCTCAACAATGGGAAATTTATTAATATAATTCTCCAAAGAAGATAAACACTGTCATTGCTAGGAGTTCAAAGAGTATCCAGTTACCTAATACTCTGGCTGAGAATGCTAGCTGTTCATCAAAATCTCTTCTCTCTCCATATCATGTATCTATTGCCACAATTAGATATGGATTAACATGATATGGAGTAACATATCATGTATTATGTTACATGGGTAACAAACTGCTCCCAAAATGAGGTGGCTTAAACACACCAATTATTATTTCCCATCACTCCATGGGTTGTCTGAATGGTTCTGGGGAAGCTGGCTGGATTTGGCTATCTTGACTGAACTTAGTCATACATCTGTTAGCAGCTGATAGCTCAGCTGTGGAATGTCTCTGTTCCACGTGGTCTCTCATCCTCCAGTAGAGTAGCTAGCCTGAGCCTGTTCTTGTGATGAGACAGAGGAGCAAAAGAACAAACAAGGTGTACAAGACTTCTTGGGGTCTAGGCTCAGCTTAGATCTGCCATTCATGACTTCTGCCATATTCCATTGGCCACAACGAATTGTTTATGACAAACCACCATGGAGACATTTCAAAGTAGGTGGATGAGAACTGATTCAAGGAGTAGAGAAATAGACTTCTCTTGATGGGAGAAATTGCAAAGTCATATTATGGATGCAGCTACAGGGAGAGGTGGAGAATTGGGGCAATTTTTTTGCTATCTACCACAACTTCTTTTATCGTAATGAAATTATTGCTGGGAGCGGTGACTCATACGTGTAATCCCAGCACTTTGGGAGGCCGAGGTGGT